GTCCAATTCATATACACATTTGTGCGCACTTTTAGATCGATGATCATGTTCGCATTCACCTTCGTATTCAAAACGACCTTAGATCCAATCGATCCTTATTCAAAACGGCCTTCGGTCCATTTAATAGCCATAAAAAATGGCCTCAGGCCCATTTAACAGTCATATAAAACGGCCTTAGGCCCAATCTATATCCTCATTGAATAAACCGAACGGCCTTGGGCCCACTTCATATTCATACGTCAATCACTTCACATATTCCATTTCGAATCAAGCGAATAGAATACTCATTTACAGTACTACTTGAAAAGGTAACATTCAGAAAATAATGCATACACAAAATTATTTTTACTAAGATATTACTCACAGTGTTCCGGTGCTTGATTTGTCCTTGCACTTGACCCTATATAATTCACAACACATTGGGTCATAATACAATTCAATCCATTTTTTCATTTGCTTAATTCTCTTAGGCTTATTTTGTATCCTTTAATTCATTTAGGATGCTCAATCTGTGCCTAAGAATGCTTAGAAATGAAAGAGAACGGAAATTGGAACATAAAATAGCTTTTCAAATTTTTTTGAAATAGGGCACTCTGCTCGAGTGTAGCTTTGGTCACTCAAGCAGTCTGTAAAACTCTGTAAAAGTACTGGTTGCATGATTTTTACGCTCAAGCAAAACTTCTATAGCTCGAGCGATGAGCCATGCAAAACAGGGTGCGCTCCAGCGCAAGGTTTGCCGCTCAAGCTATCGTGTAATTCTCTACAAAACTTCTAGGAGTTTGATTTTTACGCTTGAGCGACGCTTTCCTCGCTCTACCGGACAGGTCGAATTCTGGAATTTTCACAACTGTGTTTGAAGCTTAAAACACATTTCCAAAGGCTCAAAGTTTGCAATTTGATACCAAAAACATGGAAAAACATTATATAACATGAAAATATAGGTAATTTGAGACCAATTGCCCAAAATCATGGTCCAATTCCCAAATCATTTCATGTTCTTCTTGATAAATTCAAAACTCATGCAATCAAGTCCCATAACTCCTTAGATTATGCATCCTTGTAAAACATAGACTCTAACTCCATTTTAAAATCGTACAAATGATGTTCTGAATCATGAGGCTCAACAAAATTATGAATGCATGTGTGATTTGGCACCAAATTCTTCATATTAAGTTTGTATTTTACATTAATTCACCAATTCTTCTTGAATACACATAATTATGGACTTAAACTCATGAATTAGAGTTCAAATACTCACTTGGAGCCTTCAATCCTTCCAATTCTAGCAAATTCTTGAGCCAAGCTTCTCAAATCTTCAATCTCTAGATCAATTCTACAAGAATTTGGTCTCTCTCTCTCTCTCTCTCTCTCTAAATCAAGTGTTTTCTCTCTCTAAAGCTCTCTTGACAAGTTTTTGAGTTCAAAGATATGAATTAGCCCCTTAATTAGCATGTATACATATATATATATGCTTCCTTCATCTTATTGCACTACTAAAAAAAGTACCTTTTGCGACCACTACAAGCCGTCGCAAATAATAAAAAAACAGTGGCAAAAGACTTTTTGCGACGGCAAATGAGGGTCGTAAATGTGGGGATGGCAAATGCTTTTTACGACCGCAAAATAGCAGTCACAAACTATTTGCGACCGCCTAACCTACTTATAGCGACTGATATTTTGCCGTCGCAAAAGAGTTTAAAAAAGGCCTGCAATGTATTAGGGACCATCTTCTCACCGTCGCAAAAAAAAAAAAATAAAATAAAATAAAATAAAAAAAAAATAAAAAAAAAATAAAAATTACCTACAATCATATATATATATTCAAATATTATATACAATAAACGTAAAGACATATTTGTAAAAATTTCTATGAGCCAAATATATGCAATGAATAACAAGAGCAAGTCCCCTTAATGAACCATCAGAAGCATAACTAATGCTTGGTCCCAAAAAAAATAAATCTAACCTGACTTGTTTCTAGGGGTGTCCACGGTTCGGTTTGGGACGGTTTGCGGTTCGGTTTGGACCCGCCCGCATGTATGCGGTTTAAGGAAAAGTCAACCCGCAACCGCCCGCAATGCGGTTTGCGGTTTGTGCGGATAGGGTTCGCGGTTGCGTGGGTGGTTTGCGGATTGAACTTTTTTTTCAATTTTTTTTTGTTAAACCCTTTTTTTCACCATTTTTTTTATCAATATTTCTTTTAGACCTTTTTCCTTCCATTTTCTAAAATGCTCTAACATTAGTAATTAATGAATTAAAACTTATAAAAAACTTATAAAATAAAAAACACAACAAAATCAATTCGTAACCTAAACAAATCATTCAAAATCTACCTTCATCATTAGCTTGCATTCATCCTACATTCATCATTCCTAACCCAAATACAAAAAAAAAGAAAAGAAAAAAAGAGGAGTAATTCTTCATTAACTTACATTCATCCAAAATGTGAAAAAAAAAAATTAAATTAAAAATAAAAATTCATTAACTTACATTCATCCAAAACCAAAATGCAATTAAAAAAAAAATTGTTGCCAAACTTCATTCAATTCAAGCCCATGAAATAAAATAAAAACATTTCTAAGATATCAAACTTCATCATGAATCATCCAATCCAACTTTCATGAACCCTGCACAAAAAAATATAAACTTTAATATTCAATCTTCATAATTCTTTTGAGAAAAAAAAGTGTATAAAAAGGTTTCTATCATATTCATTACCCACCTTGGTAATCACTTATAAAACCAGCCACTAGTAAATGGATAATATACAAGGAGGAGCCACATTTAACTAGCTTCAACAAATTAACATAAATATTATGGCCTTGACAATGCAAATATTTTTCTTCACAACTCTTCTTTTTAAATATAAAAATGACCCACTATTGAACAACAAGAGTTTTCATCTACTTCATTTACTAATTTCTGATAATTTCAAAACTATAGCTAGCAAACTAATGTCACAGACCTCAAAAAAAAGAAAAAAAAAAGAAAAGAAAAAGAAAGAAGGAACTCTACATGTTAAACTAAGCACATGGGTGAGAAACATAACTTGATTTTGAACAGTTTTGGCCCAACAACTCAAAATTACAATAGGATGTTCATATGAGTCTCATGTTAAGATAAAACTATGGCTTTTACATAACCATGTGACAAGTTGAAAGCAATAAGCACTATCCAGCTTTTGTTCCAAGTTAAGAAGTGGACTTCTCAAAAAATCAATAACCCTTCTCTTACCATACGGGATAAATCACATAGATCTTAGTATTAAATCTTGAAGAAAATCAAAACAGGGATATGGTTGTTATCATAACCATAAAAGAACCACTTCAAGTCCTCTATCCACAGCCAAAATGAATTGGACTTGGGAGTTCATGTTTCCTCATGAAAGGATCATAATATGCTATTATCCATTATAGGCGAATTGCCAGCAGTAAACTGTTTAATGATTTCTTCTGTCAACTGAGACATTATAATGACAGCAAAGTTTTCAAGTCTTTACTATTTTAGGGTTAATGGTTTTCTTATTCAAAGAGCTAGACAAGGCAAGAGTCCTAGGCTGCAACTCTTGTGATCTTTAAATTTTACTTTCTTATCAATAAAGTCCTACAATATCCCCATGTTGGCTTCTCATATTTTCAAAAAAATGTGAGTTAGTCAATTCAAGACACCGAATTGGACTGAATATTTCTTATAATTCGTGTCCTCCATATAAAAACTTAACAAGTTGTGCACTACCATTGTTTAGGTGTTAGTGAACTACGTGTGCTCAGATGATGATACAAAGAAGGTGTAGGGAGGTTATAGAAAAGAACAAAATAGAATAATAATAATAAAAATTTCTAAGCAACTGCAACTAAATCCTGGACTTCATTTAAAGGCTTAAATTTAAGCCAAGTTTAACCCATTATGGTGCAATTCAATACAAATCCAATTTCAATACAGATTCAAAAAAAAAAAAAAGATTTAATTCCAAAAATTATACAGACACAGACAGATTTATGAACTGATACTCCATTTAATTCAACAGATTTAATTCCAAAAATTAACACATACATTAAATCAAAAATGAAATCCAAAAAACACATACATTCCAAACAAACACAGACAGATCTGTTGCTATAAAAAAAAAAATTTAACAGATCTGATATGTTGCAAAATAAATCAAAGATTAGGGTGAGAGAGAGAGAGGCTTACTTGTGATGTAAGGTTGATCCGTGCGATGAGAGAGTTGGTCGATCGGTCGATTTTGTGATGAGAGAGAGCCGATCGGTGTAGATACAAAACTAGAGAGTAAGGGACTGTGAGATGAGAGAGTGAGGGAGACAGATCAGAGATAGAGAGATCTGATATATTGGAAAAAAAACCAAAGATCGGGGAGAGAGACATAGACATAGACTGAGATTCAGAGAGGGGCTTTACCTGTGAGGTGTGCGATGAGGTCGATCAGTCGATCTTGCGATGAGAGAGAGACTCGATCAGTGGGTGCATGCAGTGAAGATGAAAATCACGAGAGTGAGAGTGAGAGTGAGAGTGAGAGTGAGAGACAGACTGGATCGGGGAGAGAGACATAGACATAGACTGAGATTCAGAGAGGGGCTTTACCTGTGAGGTGTGCGATGAGGTCGATCAGTCGATCTTGCGATGAGAGAGAGACTCGATCAGTGGGTGCATGCAGTGAAGATGAAAATCACGAGAGTGAGAGTGAGAGACAGACTGAGAGAAGATATAGTTAGTGAGTTTGATTAGGGTTGTTTTTTTTTTTTGAACGATCAGATTTGAAGGAGAAAAAAAGGGGTTTTTTTGAACGGTCAGATTTAAATTAAAAAAAAAAAAGTTTTTATGCAGGCGGGTTGGGTGGGTGCGTGTCAAATCTGCAACCCGCCCTCAACCCGAAAATTAGATAAAAGCCAAACCGCACCCTACCCTAATGTGTTTGCGAAACCGCCCATACATGCGCGGTTCGGATCGGGTAGGGCGTTTTGGGCAGGTTGGATGACCCTATGGCCAGCCTTACTTCTTTCATCCTCATCCAACCATCTCATACTTCATTACAGATCATCTCAGGTAAGACTTGCCAATAAATGATACTTGTACCGCACTACTAGTCCAACTCGTATTCTTCTTACCTCCCACATAATTTAAATAGGATCCCAGATGTCATTTCAATCGAAAGTTCAATCGTCACACACATGGTGGAAATTTTAGAATTATTCATAGTTATCCTTCAGTATTAACAAAAATTCAAAAAAAATAATAATAAATTTTTAGCAACAGTTGTAGTTAATACAACTTTCATACCAATAAAAATAAAAATAACAAAGGCCCTGGACTACCTATATGGTTGCTTTCTAACTTATTTATTTGTATGTAGACAATAAGTTCCTTTTACAGTCGCATCTTTCACTCTACATACAAAACCGCTAGAGATTGATCCACATGATGAAGATCGGGAACTTAAGAACCACCTGTTCAGGAAGTACAGTGGTTATTTGAGTAGTCTCAAGCAAAAACTATCCAAGAAAAAGAAGAAAGGGAAGCTACCTAAAGATGCCCGGCAAAAGCTACTCAATTGGTGGAAGTTACACTACAAATGGCCATACCCATCAGTACGTGCATCCTCTTCAGGCTATATTCTCAAGCTTTTCTTATGAAATTAACAGAGCATTCTAAGATAAAGATTGTATTTGTTGAGTTATGAAAACAGATTGTTGTGATAATCTCACAGGAGAGCGAGAAGGTGGCCATGGCTGAATCAACAGGTTTGGACCATAAACAAATTAATAACTGGTTCATCAACCAAAGGAAACAACACTGGAAACCTTCTGAAGATATGCAATTTATGGTAATGGATGGACTTCATCCTCAGAATGCAGCTCTCTATGTTGAAGGACACTACATAGGTGAAGGTCAAGGTCCTTACAGACTAGGGCCATGAGAAACAAGAAAATGCTATTCATAAACGATTTTTTTACTTTTTTTTTTTACCAATAGACACAATGGTAGTGTGTCACACGAATATTTTGTAATGCGTGTCTCATTACATTTGTGTCTAATGTTAAGAAAATTTGGTAAGAAATTCATTTATGTATAATAGTATTACTTGTGAAGAAATAATCAAAACCAACGATTTTGAGCGATGGCTCGTGCAGGGACACCATATTGTTTTAGTCATTACTAGGCTTCGGCAGGGGATCTGTTAACTAATGCCATGTGATTGTTATTGCAAGAGTTGGGTAATGTCTCAAACATCCCAATCTATTATAGTTTATAGGAAATGCATTACCTTATAACAATGTTTAGTGTATGTGTACAAGTCTTTTAGAATGTTTTCATTGTGCTTTGGAAGTTGGAATGTTTCCTCTTGTTGCTTGATCTGTCAGAAGATCTGGAGTGTTATACTTTTCTTTTTTGTAACCATATTAAGGGGTGGTTTGGGATGTTCTAAATAAGTATACTTTTTGACTTTTTATGAAATATGGGTTGAATATGGGTTGGGTTTGAAGTGAGGTGGTAGAGAGGTAATGTGACTTAAATAAGATGATGTGACTTAAATATGATAGTGACTTTTTGAATTTTTTAGTATATGCCAAACAAGGCGTAAGTATTGAGTTGTGTTCATGCAATATCTTGCACATGTAATATCCTTGGGGCATGTACTACTTTGTTCAATTGTATATGGTGAGAAGAATAGCCAATATAATGTGGAGTCCTGATTATTAGGCTAGGTTTGGCATAACATAAAAAAGTCAAAAAGTCACTATCCTATTTAAGTCATATCATCTTATTTAAATCACATCACCTCTCTACCACATCACTTCAAACCCTACTCATATTTCACAAAAAGTCAAAAAGTGCACTTATTTAGATCATTCCAAACAATCTCTTAGTCTCTCTCACACACATTTCAATAGTTAGATTGGGGAGGATTGCATGATTTTAGTCTCCAGACAGATTTATATAATGTGACATGATGGGATAAGTTAACAATAATAGTTTGTGATTAGGATGCGATAGACTAATCCAAATGTAAAAAGGTCTAGATACTTGAGAGTACTCAACACTATAAATATACACTATAAATACACTATAAATATTATTTCCTCACATTTTTTGAATTGTCTAATAAGTATGTTAAGAGAAAAGAAGTCTTACATTTTAAAATGAAATAATAGCTTGATTCTTTCTTAATCATTGTCGCTTATTATGAATTTTATTCTAAAAAGTTGACAAAAGGAACCACTACAAGAGTTTCTTTCTCTCCAAGGGGTGGTCAACTTGCCAGGCATTTCTATAAGATATCCCGTTCAAATTGAAAAGAAAAAAAAAATTTCACAACCTATGTGCCAAAAGTGGAACTTAACATTATAAACATAATTTTGACCAATCAATAAGTTTCAAGTAATCAAAAATTTGTGCCACCTATCAACAATCCATGGCTTAACACAAATCATCCTTCATTTGTATTTATACAGGGACAACCTGAAATATTTCGTACATTTTTTCCTCTTCTTTTCTGACTAATCATAAACAACATATAAATATTTGGAGCTCTCTTTAATGAGTAAGACAACTCTGATCTCTACATTTTCAGATTATTCTAATTTGCACTTTTGTTGAAAATTCTACTTTGGTAAACCTTCAATGTCATAAGAGACAATAATTTGCACTTTTGGAGCCATTTTTTTCATCAAATTTGAATCTGATGAACAAATTGATGAACAATTGGAGATGCACAACCAAGAGAGACAAAATTGATAAAATTATGGAGCATTATGAGAAATCCTAATGAATCTAACCTCTGAGAGAAACAAAGAACCCCGAATATGATTGCCTAGAGTTGGAAACTAACCTGCTCAATATGTCCTTGAGGAAAATAGAACACGCGTTCGCCTTCGCGAGGCACTGTCACGAGCGAACCAGCACAAGCGCGCCATAGCTCTGTATAAAGCGCTGTTATAGATTTTTCTTGAGACAGATTCCATTACAGAGAAGTACATAACTCGGATCATTATAGAGAGAGTTGAATCGATGAAGATGTGTTTAGACTTACTGATTATGAATTCTTCAATAGTTGTGGACTTAAGAGAGTTGAATCGATCGACATATTCGAGTGAGAGGCAGTGAGATTCGAGCGAGAGTCGAGCGAGAGACAAATTTTGAGAGGGAGAGAAAAGAGTTCAGATTTGGAAAATAAGAAAAAAAAGGGGATTGAGATGGAGAGAAAGAGAGAGTCAAGTTTTACTAATTTGGGTTATTTATTTATTTATTTATTTTTTTATAGTTAAGAACACGATTGGCTCAGTAAAATGAGATTGTAAAATTAGATTTTGATGTTAAAAATGATTTTCAGTGACGGTTAAATAATCAGCCACAAAAAAATAGACGCAAAAAGTCATATTTCTAGTAATGTTGACTAATCAAAGCTTAGGCTTAATCAAATGGACCTAATTAAATCAATTAATCTAATTATTTTGATCTGAATCAAATTTCAATCAAATTCACCGTAGGCTCTAAAAATCATGCTAATCACAATAATACAGTCAATTTCAATTTCTATAGCCTCTACGGTCTTCAATTTCAAATTATAGCAGAATAGCAAATAGATTTCTCTACGGTGAACATATATAAATTCAAAGATATATTTAAACATGCAATTAGAACCCAAACTTAAACTAAGCACACATTCACAGACATAATTAGGATTAATAGCATAACACAGAACAGGGTTATCACAATCTCCCCCCTCAGAAAGTTTGGTCCTCCAAACTTATGTTATCTTCCGTCGGAAACAAATATGGATAGTGTTGTTGCATCTCTTTTTCTTTCTCCCATGTGGCATCCCTTCCATAATGTTCTTTCCATTCCACTTTTACCATTGGAATGGATTTGTTTCTTAGTTACTTTACTTGTCGATCAATGATTCGTTCTGGCCACTCCTTGTACTCTATATTTTCGTCAAGGGTTACTCGGTGATAATCAATTATGTGGAACGGATCCCGTAGATATCCCCCCAACATTGATACATGGAATACGTTGTGCATTTGTTCCATTCCCGGCGATAGAGCAACTCTATAAGCAACTGGGCCAAACCTTTCTAGAATTTGAAACGGTCCAATGTAACAGGGTGATAATTTACCCTTTTTACCGAATCTTAACTGGCCTTCCATTGGATTTACATGGATGAACACATGATCACCAACCTCATACTTAAGGGGCCTTCTTCTAACATCCGTATAACTCTTTTGTCAGCTCTGTGCTGTCTTAAGCCTTTGTTAAATGACTTTGATTTTTTCAGTAGTTGTCTACACAAGCTTAAGTCCAAGCAAGACCCTATCCCCAAATTCAGTCTAGCATATCGAAGATCAACATTTTCGGCTATACAAAGTTTCATATAGTGCCATACCAATACTGGAGTAGAAACTATTGTTATATGCAAATTCGGCCAATAGTAGGTAAGTCTCCAAACTCCCTTGAAAATCCAAAACACACATTCTAAGCATATCTTCTAGAGTCTGTATAGTCTGTTCCGATTGTCCATCAGTTTGTGGATGGAATGCTGTAATAAATCTCAATTCTGTTCCTACTACTGCTTGAAGACTTTTCCAGAATCTAGATACAAATTTCAGGATCTCTATCCGACACGATAGACACCAGAACTCCATGTAAACAAATAATTTCATCAACGTAAATAGTAGCTAATGTATATGCATCATACGTAGTTTTCACAGGTAGAAAGTGTGTAAATTTAGTCAGTCTATCAACTATAACCCAGATAAAATCCATACCTCTAGGTGTCCAAGGTAGGCCAACAACAAAAAGTCCATAGTTATGTGTTCCCACTTCCATTCCGGAATAGAGAGAGGTTGGAGTAGACCTACTGATTTCTGGTGTTCAGCTTTAACTTGTTGACACTGAAGACATTTTATAGCGATCCCGGGTTTTCCCCTTTATGTATGGTAATCCGAACTTGGGTTCCATGGTTGAGTATTGTTGTTTATGTCTCTTTCCGCCCTTTAATTCTTTGTATTTGAGTTTTAGGATGTGTTGGGCAGGTTTGTAGTAGGTTGGGTGTGTTTTGAAACCAATGGTTGCTATCCAGTTTTTGGTGTCTTCGCTCGAGCGAGGCTTTTGTCGCTCGAGCAAGCTCTGTGTTTTAGTTCCATCGCTCGAGCGAGATTTGAGTAGTGTGTCTCTTGGCTCGAGCGAGCTTTCTTGCGCTCGAGCGTGCGTCTGCATCTAGTTTGGACCTGAAGGTTATGTTTTTTCGCTCGAGCGAGCTTTCCTTCGCTCGAGTGAGCGAGGACTATGTTTTGGGTTTCTTCGCTCGAGCGTGCTTCTGGGTTGCAGACCTGAAGCTTCGTGTTGTTCGCTTGAGCGAGGTTTCTTTGTGTCTGGTCGCTCGAGCGACCACTCCTTCGCTCGAGCGAGCCTCGAGTATATCAATTCGCAGCAGCGTGTTTTTACACACTTTTTCATCTCCATTTCTTTCCAAACCCTAGATCCATCTCTCTCTCATTCTACACACTTCTTCTCTCTTCTAATACACTTGATCTAGAGGGTTTCTACCCTAGTTCCTTTGTAAAAAGGGTGGAGTATCGCGTGGGCTACTTTTTGATCCGAAAATTTGGGGATTTGGAGCATCTTGAGTTTTCTTCATCTTCTCCATTGAGTCTCTTCATTTGAGGTAGGGATAACCTACTCCTTCCTATGAGTTTTAACATAAATTTTGGTCATTTTGTATAAATAGTGAATTATGGAAATTATGGGAAGATAGGGTTTTGGAATTGAAATTATAAAAGAGGGATTTTTAATTGTTGAGTACCATGTGTATGTGAAACCTTGAAAAATGGAATTGTTGTTGTAGAATTGATGAAAGTGAGCCTTAGGGTTAAAGTTGAGAAAAAGAGAAAAATGCCCTAATTAAGTTTAAATAAT